TAGCCGGTGTATGGTTATAGCAAATCTGGGGGGTAAATTTACCCCTGCTTATGTATGCCTTGGGTCGGAAAGAGGGGTCAGCATTTCTGGCATCACAAGGACTGTAGATACACTAGGGCGTCCGTAGTGTAGGATAAGCACTGGTAAAAGGTATCAGGATAGAGTGTCTTGAGGGAATAGCCGGTGTATGGTTATAGCAAGCCTGGGGGGTAAATTTACCACTTATGCATGCATTGGGTTAGAAATAGGGGTAAACAACTTGTAACAGTGAAGTACAAGTCCTATGCAGCAAGCAGCAGCCAGCAGGCAGCAGCAACCACCAACCAGCAGCCAGCCAGCAGCACCACGCAGCAGCAGCGCAGCACCAAGCCACAGCAGCAGCAGCACCACCAGCAGCAAGCAGCAAGCAGCAAGCAGCAGCAGCGTCAGCAGCAGCGGCGTCGTCAGCAACAGCAGCACCAGCACCAAGCCGCAACAAGTAGCAAAGCAGCAGCAACAAAAGCGGCAACCAGCGGCAGCAGCAATCAGCAAACAGCAGCAGCAAGCAGCAGAGCGGCAGCAGCAGCACCGTTTACACCAAGCCACCCTTTACGCCCAACCAACCACGTTCACACGTTCAACCAACCCCCGCTACACGGCGCAGCTGGGAGTCGAACCGTGGGCGGGGGTGAGTGTGATATATCAAGCTTTAAGGCACGCAGCTCATCTCACTGCCAATTGCTAAAGCAAAGAAGAACTCAGCTAGCATGCTAGCTTTCGTGACAATTAGATCTACACGCCAGCGTGTAGATTGTCGACGTAAGACATCTCACTAAACACGCCTTCCTTTGTGTCAAATATATATATATATATAACCGTCGAGAACCGCGAAGCGACCTGCAGTGACATCCATCCCCCGAAAGAACCGTGTGTGTTCGAACGACATGAGTCGAACACGCGGAGGAAGGAACGCACAGCGTTTGGAAGCGCCACTGCCAAACCCCAAAAAACTCTAAAATATAAACAGCCAAAGGAATCTGTGTATATATTGGACTATAATGGATAAGTTACGTTTACCTTACATGGAGTGTCTCCGATAGTACGAATCAATACGGTTTCTCGATGTTGGAGCGTTGATCTTGGAGGCTTGTCCAGGGTTTAGCTGACACGAACACAACATGAAGGGTAAAAACGTACCGAGCATGCCAATTTCTGGAAACAACCATGTTGGTTTGTCGCTTGGAACGCACCTCCGTCCAAGCAGACTCACTCCTTACTTGCCATGTCATGGCCGTGGAAGCTTCAATGCAGTTGTGATGATTCAAGACCTCCAAATATCCAACTCCACGATCGTTCCTGAGCTCTGGATCTGCTCTGGCTTGAAGTAGCAAGTTCACAGCTTCAGGATTTCCAAACCACGCGGCGATGTACAATGGAGTGCTGCCACCACAACCTGCAATGCCCCTCAACAGTGCTGAAGGCCTCCTCTGGAGGTTGCACAGCAATCTGGCCAAGAGCCCCAGTGGTCGGTAAAAACCCTCACGGTAATTGACATCAGCACGTGCTCCCAAAAGCAAATGGATGATTTCCTGAGATGTGCATGTGTGTTACCTAAACACAGCCAAGAAATGACAACAGTACTCCCTATGGATTCCACTAATAGCGGACTTAAATTCCCATCCAGGTATCTCTACCATGAGGCAATCCAGGGAAGGTTGTTGCCGTGGAGAGCGGAGAAAAGGAATACATCCCAGCACCACAATTGAGTTCGGCCCGTGATTCAATCATGATGGAAAGCCCTTCGGGCTCCAATGGACGTAAGATGCAAGCAGACAGGGGCGGCATCCCAAAAGGAGGCTTTCGTTGGTTCACATCTGCCCCCATCTCAATGAGCAATTTGGCAATCTCTTTGGTCCCTGCGTGACCAATCACTGAAGTTCCGATTGCATCTGTCTCATTGACATCTGCTCGCAATGCTAGGAGTGCCATGATGGCAGCGGGATCACAAGCATGCTTGGCTGCGAAGTGAAGAGGAGTCAAACCAGGAATGATATCAAGATCCAAGTTCTTTGAGGCACGACAGTGAAGGCTTGCGCGCCTCTGCACGAGCGTGGGAATCAACTCGACATCGCCACTCAACACTGCGCAGGCCAGCGGACCGATGCCCTTTGTTTGGCCCAATGATCTCCTTGGATTCATATATATATATATATATTATATATATATTATGCATACATTCTCTTGCAAACAAAGCAAACACACCAAGAAGTGTGGTATTATCTCCTGATATTGACGGAGATGTTTCCCTATGCCTATCTGTGCTGCTTGCAACAACACCAAAGAATCCAGGACAAAAAATACAAACAAACATCCATCCATCTCAATCAGTCCAGGTCTCTGGTTGAAATGGAAATCAGTCAAGAACTCTTCAAGACTTCGAGTTTTTGGAGCAGATCCAGTGATTCGCTCAAACCTCCCAAGAAAATATCGGAATTCATCGAGCTTCTGCATTAGTAGCAAGTCTGCCAACCTGGAGAGCTAGGGGCACAACTAACCAGGCTAAATTTCCAAGGGAGCAAGCAGTCTTGATTTCCAAGTCTTACAAGTGTCCCACAATTGTGTTCCAGGAAGTAAATAGGCCATGGCCCACCACCCATCTGAGAAAAACTCCTTTCCCAGGTTAAGACTCCCAGTATCTTCCAGTTCAGCCATTCGTGGAGTTCCACCAAATCTGGAAAAAAAACATAAAGCACAAAAGGCATGCCATCGTCTTCGCCTTGCCAAACCGGCCGGGCCGCCTTTCTTTCAAGAAGAAAGAGACGATGGGTTTCAAGCCGTCACGATCATGCTCCATGGTAAAGCCACCTTCATGAACCAAGGCATAGAGCCAAAAATGTGCACGGAGGAACTTCACTCCTTCATCGCCTCTGCAGCGACGACCGGGAAACGGTGGGTGATGCATACCGAATACCTATAGATCCCCGTCCGTTGGCAGTTGATCACCACCGTTAATTAGTTGGTTCTATGCAGTTATACAGGGGCTCTCTATTCACCACCCCAATCATTCGGTCCTGATGCTCAATGACTTCCAGAGCGGCTCCCCAAACTGTCGTGTTGTTTCGTGAACATTACTTCATTCTCGAGCAGTCCGACTTGCTGTTTTCTTGCCCACGCAAAAATCCAAGAAATGCCTTCAAACAATCTCGGCCTCTGAATCCAACCACAAGTAGATGGGGATGGATGGGGCCCAAATTGTCCCATCTATTATTTATATACCAACTACACTTAACTATTAACCCCAGAGACAAGCAAAGTCGATGGGGTCACTCCCACCCGCCTGAAATCAGTAACATGGGTAGTTCATGTCGCTTCGAAGAGATCTGTCGGAACCAAACCTCTGCCCGGCACCAACCTCTGCTTTGCCACGTTTGGTAGGAACATATCGCACTCCGAGAGTTGTGCAGCGTTGGGGCTAAAATGCAAAAAAGATCCTCAGATGTAAGGCTGCTAGGGCTGCTATAGCGCAATCATACCACAAGAACAGTCCAAACAACCTTCGACAACATGGTCTCTAAGACTCTTGATGCTCAACAAATGCTTGCCAAAGTCCGTCCATCACCCAAAAGGGTGATGTGTTCAATCCACTGTTCACCTGTGTTCAAAACATTCAAATCAAATGTCTCGTGCATCCCAAGGGCGCAACGTTCAACATAGCTGGGCATGCATTCTTTCAATTGCACTATGGACGCGTGGAGGCTGCTTCTTCTCTGGGGAACGCAGAACCAATCCATCCAAAGGTATCCACTGCGGATCTGTTCCTTCTCTCTTTCGCTGAGCACCCTTTGGTAGCCCAGACTTTGGGCAAGGACATCATACTCCACCCTCAACGAGCCATCGATCACATTGAACAATGCCATCCTGGGCATCGGCACCATGTCACCACATGGGACCATTTCACCTTGTGCTGAATATCTAGAAGGTATATTACAATAAAATGCAACGATGTAATGTATATTATATGGATTTGGTATGTCTATGTATGTCTTATTACCAGGCCCAAGTGGATGACAATGGTTAACAGTTGGAGGCCTTTCTCTAAAGTAATTAGGTTTAATTGTTTACCAACTGTCACAGGTTTACTGGGACAGCCCCCGAAGTCATGGACATCTTCCGAACTTCTTGTCTTGGGAGCCCCGAAACCCACGGTCGACATGGACCGACCATGACCGGCCTTGGCCGTGGAATACTCGGTGGAAGGACTCGGTAGTTGGTCGAGAAGATCTACGTTCCCATGGACCCCAGACCCACTGGTTAGTAGAGAAAAAACAACAAAATCTTCCAGAGTCCATGTGAGTTTTCGGGAGTTTCATGTAAACGCTTGATTCATCACCCCCCGATTTGAACAAAACCTCTGAAGAGGCGGAAACTACGGTTGTTCTAGTAGATGCTTGCAAAATGGCACACATGCCCAAGCTTGCTGCAAAAAAAGGAGCTCGCCAGAGTGGTGTCCGAACTAGACAGTGGTTTGTGCCATGACGAGTCGAGTCCGACCATGACGGGTGCGTGGGTCCGGCGACGGACCCCGAGGAGGTCCGCGGTGGTTGTCCGGTGCGGGGTTTCAGAAAGGCAAATAAGGGTTCACCCGGACATGTGAAACAAAAAAGCAGAATGTAGAGATACTTAGAATCCGCAAAGTAAATTGTTATTAGAGTACATTTGTCTGTGATTCTTTGGATCAATACTTGACCGGCCTGTCATTGAGTCTCAAAAAGGGCCTGTCATTGACCTTCAACCATATGGTCAGGAATTCATCTGCTTGCTTGCGGCATTCGGTTTGACACCCGCCTGAAGAAAAAGGAAGGATAAACAAAACAAATCTGACCGAATCCAGGCATCCTCAAGCAGTGACTTTGATAACCCTTCACATCAGGATGATCTCGCCCAAGCCATTCGTGAGACACCAGGATCGTGAACAAACTCGGATCCCATTCGTGCAAAAGGCCCTGTTCTTGGAGTTCCTCAAAGGGCACTGGGGCGCCACTCATCGTCATGAAATCACTGATTTTCAGCACCCACATCCTTGGAGAATTTGCATCGCCAGGTGGGTTCTGAATTGATCTGAAATTGATGGTATTGTTATGTATTGTTGTGTATTGTTGTTCAGAGATCTCAAAGAAGCCCAAGATTTCCGAACTGAAAACAGGGACTGGTTTCGCACCATGTTTACTGCTCAACTCCAGTGGGATTTGGGAAACCCGTCCGTGGTCGGGTATGGGTTCCTGCAGGATGGGGGCACTTGATGCATCCTTTATGATCTTGTCTATCCAACTAACCGAGGTGGACACTGAATAAGAAATAGAGACTATATATAGTTGTCATGGTATCCATTGTCAATCCACTCTGTGGCACTCTCACATATACGACGATATACGACGTAATACGTAATTATATCATTGTTCCTCAGGCCAAGTATATACAGTCCTAAATACCAAAAAAGAATCCCCTCTGCAGATTGGCCTCGTTTGCACATCCTCAGAGCGTGCCGACGGACTGGTCGGTACCGTCTGCCGCCTGGAGCAACAGCTCATGGCGAGTCTGGCACGGTCGCGGTCGCAGGAAGACACGGTCAGTGCCTTGCACACATCCCACCCACTCACCTGGGTTCCACCCACTCACCAAGGCACAACATCCACCCACTCACCTTGAGCCCAAATCAACCCAATCACCAAGGCCGATTCCTCGGAACACATGTGATTTCCTGCCCAACTGGGGTCGGCTGGGTGGATAAAACATCGGCGCCACACAAGCAACACGCACCAAAAGCAGGGTTCACCTTCTTCAGTTCTCCAAAGTGAAGACTGCCAAACTTCCTTCATCGATCCGGTCCTACCAAGCACGTGTCTGAAGAGAGACCATCAACGGGAATTCACTGGTGTTTGCACAACCGTTGTTCCCATGAACAATTGCTCAAGTCCATTCCAGGCAGATTCCATCACCAGGACACCTGCAATCTCCTCAAAGTACTGTACATAATATGCAAGGACCCATAAAAACCCTTACCCAAGTGACATGTACCAACTAGTTCTGAGCTCTCATCCCAGCCTGTTTGGACATCTGGGAAAACCCCGCTTACAGCACTGCTCCGTGTCTATCCAAGCACACTCCAAGCACACTTCTCCGGTGATCTTCAAGTGACGTTAGCCCCATCCACTGACACTTCAATCTTGAAGCCAGCAAAGATGCAGTCCTCCCAGGTGGAGCCAACTATTATTGGAGGAGAGGTCGATTCCCGGACAGAACAAACCCACACCGTTGGGGAAGGATTCTTCTGCGTAGACGAAACAACACAGAACTGGGCATGGGCCGAACAGTTGCAAAGAGAAACAATACACTCCCTGGGATCATCATGGAAGTGGAAAACCACCTGTTCCGCTGTTCGTCGAGAAAAATGGTCTTCCGATTCCACGGGACCACTTTCCACTTCGATTCTCACATCCCGCTGCGTGCTGCGGGGCTGTGGGCATGGGCGCTGCGGCGTCGAGGGCCTGAATGTGGTGCCACACTGTGCCTACAAACGGATGTCCGCAACTGGATTTGGGTCAGAAAATCGACTGACCAACACTTTCTTGATTGCACCAAAATCGTCACCATCAGTTCCCCCATCGTCAAGTGTCACTTGGGGATTTGTCCACCAAACACATGTCGTCAACCCACATTGAGGACCACGACTCGGCACATGTTTTCCTGACAAGCTTAGCTCACCATGTTTCGTTTACATGAAATTCACTCACTCCTTCATGTTCCATTCCATCCCGTAAATGGGAAATGGATGGACATGGAAGATCACATGAATTCACTCCTTCCAAACATCTCTTGGGGATCCACCATCGTCCCTCATCCTCTCGACGCCGCAGTGCTGCCGCGTCAGCTCCCGTCCTGCAGTGCTGCCGGCGTCCACGAGATGTGAAGGCCCTCCACGCTGGCGCCCGACAAGGAGACCGCCGGCGGCTCCGCGTGGCGCCTCGTGTCGGACCCAGTGAAGGACCGGTGGGTTATGATAAATGGTCGAGAAAAGGAAGCACTTTAGTAGCTTCAGCAAAGGGCATTGCAGCTTTAGTAGCGCTTCTAGCAACTGTCGCAACACGATATTTCATGTGTCTTGCGATTGGAAAAAAACCGGAACTCTTTTGGGGGGCCTGCAAACGCCTTCCAAGTCCTGAGAAGTAAACCCTGGCACCAAAGAAAGGAATCTTCCATCCTGATCATTCATCCTGAAAGAACACATGTGGCAAAACTTGTGTATAGATTGTGTTGTTCAGTGGCATTCAATCCAATCAATCTCTGCTGCACACAAAGTAACACAGTAAACACCCACATGCCTGTGGACCCATGCGCCCGCGCTGCGGGCCGACAAAGGTGAGCCCGTCGCTGGCCTTGGGGGGGGACGCTGAAGGAAACACACATGGAAGTGCACAGCGCATGGACACACCCTTCTGGTCTTCGAAGGGAAATGATCTGTTCGTTTTTTTTGGTTTTGGGAAAACAAACATACCTTCAAACACCGGAAAAAGATTTGGTCACTTTACACTGATGTTATTGAAACCAATGGAATATACAAAGGTGTTTGACGACTCTTTTTCCTGTCACCATCTGTCACCAAGTGGCGTGAAGGACTGCTCTTTCACAGCGAAGGAGTAGTATCCAAAGGCCCGGTCTGCAAATTCAGCGACGTCCAACAGTGGCTTTGTATGAGCGTTTGATGGGTTCCTGACATGTGGACATCACATGAACGCAAACAAAATGAGATACCCGTATCATGTATTCCCACATCCGAGTGCCACAAGTGCGAAGCCCTGGGATTTCCTTGTCTATCAAACATGAGTGTTTTCACTCGCCAACGCCCGAAGCACAAGCCCGAAGCCCAACTGAGTTCGACCTGAGATGATCAGAAAAGCCACAAACGCCACTCGTTCGCGCTCGCGAGTCGTGCCTAACACTATCACAGGTCCCAAAGACTCCAAATTCATCCAAATTCCCAATGCTTTTCTGTTGAACCTTGGGTGTGTTCCATCGCCCAATGGGGTTCTCCAGCCCCCGTGAACACCCTTGGAACGGATCAAAAGGCCAAACCTATACAATCCCTATAGAACATCATCACATGCAAGAACCTGTGCTACCAGGAAGATTCGTTCATTCAGATTCAGCCCAATTCAGATGTCCAATTCGTTCGTTCAGATGTCCGCCCCACAGCCCGTCTGTTCTTCTTCGCCTGAGACTTGGCAAGCTGTAATGCTTCGATCCAAGAGTCCTGCGCTCGGGTTTCGGAGTGGTCTCGGTACGCTTCAAGCGGGGCCACCAGCGGGGCCACCCTCATCTTCCCAACGCTAAAGCAGGATGATGCTCACGGTGGAAATTCAAGGCAAACAAGTTTGAGTCGGCTCCTGCATGGTTTCTAGCCACCAATTAAAAAGCTTAGGTTTTGGCATCCTTTTGCAAAATAGTCAATAGTTCACCTCCCGCAATGAACCAAATGACCTTCGGTCAGCCAGCCAGCCAAGCCCCAGAAAACATCTGCCTTCATCTTGCCTTTCCCAATATTTTAGAGGTCTACCGGTCTACCAATGTGAGCTTCATGCAGACTCTCAACAGATCAGCAAAAGGGAGGTAGATGAAGACACAGGATGTTTCTTGGGTTGCTCCAGACATGTCAACTGTCAAACTGATCTGAACAAGCTGGGACTAGTCAGGATAGATTTGACCACAAGCATTCCACTGCCTTCAATCCCTCTTATATACAGTCGCTGTGGCTTCTATGCTCTGCCAAGTCTGTTCGAATGACCCTTTGATGAATGCACCTTCTTCGTTTTACCTTGAAAAATATTCAACCGAGGCGCACAGTGCATATGTGTGCATAATCTACCAGGTACAAGGTGGAAAGCAGGGCAAACACATGCAAAGACTTGAAATCAAAACAGGATGAAACAGCACTGGATCTGTGTCTGCGACAGCATGCCCCGCCTGGGCATGCATTCGAGACTCGAACCTCGAGATTTGGATCTGCCTGGCCTCCCACCTGAGCCACGCGTGTGAACCTCCCACTGACGAACGGATCGTCGCAAACGAACGCCTTCCGTGCGGTTTTTAACGGGTTCAGAACGACGGTGTAGCCTAACGCCAATGGGAGTGCCTTTGGTGACCTGGCCATGACTACCAGTGGAACTTCACCAGTGAACCATCGACCGACTATGTTTCAAGACTGACCTTCCTCGATCTGTTCATCTTCAGAAAACAAACACAAAGCTGACGAACGGTCACCAGCTAGCTTCCATGAATTTTCGGGACTCTGTGCCATGTCACTGAAACAGCAAACCTGGTTGAAGCAGGACTGTGACCAGTCCAAACGAGTAAAGAATATCACCAGTCACCAACGATACGATTCATGGACAGTGCTTTCCGGTCCCCCAATCCTCTCCCTCATTCATGGACGTCAATTGACGGATCCCAATCCTGGTGCTCATTGGCGGTTCGTGGTGACCCTGGATGGATCATGGAAGAGTGTATCGTCTGACAAATACGTCACGAAGAAAACACAAAGTGTTAAAAAGAAACGATTTGTTCAGCACAAATATTGAACGGCGACCACTTTGAAGAAATTGCAGCAGTTTCGCTTCCAGTCACAAATCCACGAAAACAAACAACGAAAACAACATACCGAATTGATCCTCCAAGTGGCAAAGGTGGCCTTGTACAACTCCACCTGCCAATGGATAAACTCCGAGTCCTGAAGAGCTCACAACCCGATGCGCTCGGTCACCGCTCGGTGGATTCACGCTTCGAGAGAGGCGCTCGGTTGCAAGGAAGAGGACGAGTTGCAACGAGAACTGGTTCCGAATACGAGAATAGGTGGTGTATGGAATGGAAGGATGTGTTAAAATTTAAGATTAATAAGCCGTATACAGGTTTAAATACACACAACATGACATCGCACAACATATTATGTTAAGGTATGTTAAGGTCAGCCACCCAAGAAGTAGTTGCCAAGTGCTGGTCACACATCGCTTTGGACGCCCGCTCACCTTGAAAGGCCCCATTCAAAGCTTCAGCGATCGTTGCGGGTGGAAAAGACCGAACTTCCAGCGATCGCGGGACGCATGGCCCGGTCTTTCGAAGTGATTTCTGGGCGGCCTACTAGTAGAGTCCTTGCTACTAAAAGTAATGCCAGGAGCTACTAGTAGCTTCTTGCTCCAAGTAGCGATGCCAGTACTAGTAGCTTCTTGTTACTACTAGAAAGTCACCTTGCTAGTACTGTCTCTGGTCTTGGAATTCGCACTTACGATGGATGGAACGCATCCCCAAAATCTTCCACCAGACTTCAGTGTCATTGGCATCTAGTTCACCACAAGTACTGTAGAGCTGCACTGAAATAGTAGACCAACCGCCAACCACTTTTGAAGTCACTTTCTGTGAGACACGGCCAGCTTTTGGCCGTGTCTCAAAAGAAGCCGACCCTTTCTGTGCCCGTGGAAGCGTTTTCTTCTTTCTTCGGCTTCTGGAAGACCAGAGGCTTTCTTCCTCCACCTCTTCACCGGCTTTGGCAACAGTGGTTCCCAAGAACCTGGTCAAACCCGATGGCATCCGTAACCAACTACTCCTCCTGCGCACCAGCTTGCCACGACAACGCCAACCTGAGCCACCGGGTTGCAGCGGTCCTTCCAAAGACTTGCATGGGTCCCGAAACAAATGTGTTGCATAAGTCGTAGTTTGTCGTGACAAGATCGCTGAGGAATGGTATCACCTACAGGATATCTACTAGGATCGCCTGGTTTGGATGGAGCTCCTCATGTTGAAACATGAAGCTAATATCTAATACTGATACTTATATATATATATATACACACTATATAATACTATGTATCATGTGTCCTTTGTAGTCACGTCAAACTACTGTATATACAGCAATATGGTATATGATCGGACCCAACGCTCTGATGAAGTTTGACCTCTGTCTTTCATAGAAGTCAAGATCAAACCCAACAATCACCCAACCAATGGGTCTTCGCTTTTCCCAACAGCCTGTGGGAAGTTCGTTCTGTTTTTCAGACACACCCAAACCGCAAAATGCCCTCTCAGATGCCAACTGATCATCGGACGAAGTGGCAACCTTAAAGAACGTGCAAGATCGACATCATGTCGAAGCCAACCCACATCTGAGTTTGTGCAGGGAGAGCAAACACACCTCTGTCAAACTTCCATGCGGAGGCTTTTCATGGGACATTTGCAGGTACCTGTGCATATATATACATATATATCCATTTTGCAATTCAATTGTGAAGCACAATGGAACTCTATTCTACAGCTTCATGACATTACTCGACCATTCAATCTCCCAACTCACAACTATGATGATATCATATGCATATATATATATATATATTGTATCAACATACATACATATTATGATCTACATTATCAAATATATTATGATATCCATAATATATATATATATAACGTTTTATCCATCCACGTGAATTGTCTGTGTCCATCAAGGGTTGCGCTGGAGAGCTCTCTCATGAGGTCTATGTTGTAATATTTGTGTGATTTGTCCGTGCAGATTCTGTTGGCTTGAAACAGAGCAGCAGGAATCATGTGATGTAGAAGATATTAGAAAATCATATACATGTTCTAATGTTTTGGACATCGGGGTGTATCAAACCTCCAGTGCTTGCAAGATATTTTTCAATCAAATGGGTGCAACACCCTGCTGTGCTAAGAGGCTTCTTTGGCTTATCACGAATGCTCGATGAAAACACAGTTCTGTCACTGTGGATCCCTCTGCCAAGGGGTCCTGAACAAAGGAACAACAAGGACCTGAGCATCAAGAAATCCAGGGCAATAGTGGGCCATCCCCGACCCGACCTCCCCTCTCACCAACCGCAAGCCGCAAGCCGTCCATCACCTCTGGAAGTCACCGGCTGCCAACGGCCAAGTCAGCCCAGCCAGGCCAACAACCGACCAACAAGATTTAAGATGTACTGGACTATGATGTACTCTGAAAACAAATATCAGAAGTCTATCAGAAACCCAACCAGCTTCCCTCCTTCTCAAGCAGCCCTCCCCTCTCAACCCCTGGGCGCTCAAGCCAAGTTGGTGGGCGCACTTGCTGGCTGGAGACATTCAGGTCCAATGGCCACCTCAAATCCAGGTTGCTCAAAGACAGCCAGAGATCTTTGCACCAAAACGGACGAATTCTGGGAGTTCTTCTTGTCCATCTCGGACAGCCCCTGTCTTGACTAAGGGCCCCCACAGTGGTGCTGCCGGTCACGGGGCGGCTCCAATCGGACGTGGAGATGGACGCTTCACAGACCTGACGCACCTGGCGACGATGCGGTTCCCGGTGCCTCGGAATCAGAGTTGGGAGGGAGACCTTGGGGTCATGGATCTCACCTCCACAATTTGATCATGAAATAAACCAAGCCGACCTCGCCAACATATGCACCACAGGCAAACATGTAGAAACAAAGGCACGCAACCTTGTCCGACATCACATGAAATGGGTTGAACTCAGGCCTTACCACGTTGTTTTACCTTCACACCATGTTGAACTCGGTTGCTTGTCTTGTTTAGCGGATTTTTTGTGTGGAACAGTTCATGCCTGGATCCAAACTGCACAATCCAGTTCGTATCCAGCTGTTCATCCAGTCTTAAAATCGTGCCATTGCGAATACCCTTTCTGAGATCGCAGAAAGAAGAAAGTTGAAAGCTCCAACAATCACATGATATCACATGCCTCCGGTTCCGGTGGTGAATAGACCAGCAGCGACGCTAGCCACTGCTATGCCGGTGACACTGGCATTTCAAAGGAGCGAAGGCTCAGGATTTTGATGCGATTCGAAGCTCCTAGGTTGGAGGCCATGGCCATTAGAAACAAAGAAAGAAGAAAAGGATGAATGGTCTACCATTGATTTGTAGTGAAACATCGATATCACTATCTACTTCGTCACTATGGGTCTGCAAGCGTTGCTAAAACATGACATGCTATCACTATAACTGCTCCTATACAATACATATGTATATGTTCAAATATAGTGACTATATGCAGCACTACTCGTTCTGCCACTTCACCGATCATCTCCAATGTTTGAGTTCCTCCACAGCGTTGAAACTGTGTTCTGGAAAAGGCAAACTGAACCTCATGAGCTCATCAGCTCATGTGGGTCATGGCACCCCGGAACCTTGAGGGATGTCAACCTCCCATGTAGGGTGAGGTTTTGACAGCGTTTGAAGCCACATCTAACTTTCAGACTTGCAAGTTGCCAGCGTCGGAAACAAAGCGGTACGAATTGCAACCTTTGACACTCTAGACATCTTTTGACATGTACCGTGTAGAGTAATTGTGTAGGAGCCCAGCCCACATCCCGACATGCGAGATTGTTTCACCAAGACATGAGTCGAGTCAACTCCACTACTATACTACTCTCACATAGGGATACTTTCTTCCTATGCAAATGCAAATGAAATACACTTGTCTGCTGCCAAAACTTGGGTTACACTCCACACCAAACAAGGCTTGACATGGAAACAAACAAACAGCTTTGGCAAAAGGAACGCCAAAACTTCGGGATCCATTTTGTTCACACCGGAAACCCACAAAGACCTCATGGTTCGCAAGTCCTCCCCACCTGAATCACATAGGGTGTGTCGCACGGCAAGTTGGTGATGACACCTCAGATAGTGGAATTCGCTTGGAGTTTGCGATTGGAAAAAAGGAACTGATTGTTTAACACCTGAAACAAGGAGACGTGTTTTTGTTTTTTTAATCCGCTGGAGACCTGCAAGTTGAAGATTCCTGAACACCCCATGATATCCCTTAACAGTTAACACTGATGAGATCCAATGATCACCTATATCACCAAAAACACATATGTATATATATATATGTATACATTGGTTATACATATATACATTTCTGTTGGTTGCTGGGATCTTCACTCCTTCGTCTCAACGGCCGCGAACCTCCTTGGAGCCCCGGGCAAGAGCGCCCCGTGAAGGAGCTCAAGGCTTCGCAGGCCGGGGGGTCCTCACACAACAAAAAGGACAACACAAAAACGATCAAAAAACGGATTTCGCTGCTTGGTGGGATCACAAAGCAACGATCACACAGAACATCCTTGAAGCACCATTGGTACCAACCTAAGCCATCAAGATATATCAAGATGCATCAAGGCCCCTTAATCCAGGCCGCCCAACAAAGAATGGTTGCACACTATGAGCTGCAAATCCGCTGCCCAAACACTGCTCTCGCTCGCTCCGCTGCACGTCGCTCCGCTGCCCAACCGCGCGCGCTGGAACCAACGAGGTGTCGAAGGCATCGGTCCTGGAACCAACTGCCCCCAGGGTCGCGGAGTTCCACTTGCCAGGAGCGGAAGGTGCAATTCCCCTGCAATCAGGCGTGGAGCCACTGGAGACGAGCAAGAGAGCGCGCGAGCATGTTTGGTGACAGCGAGCTCGGACCTGGGTTTGGTTTAGAAAAGACAAAAGTGGAACCAAAAAACACAGCACCGTGTCAGTGGGAGGACAATCCTTGGGTTGGACAACCGAGTCAGCACTGCTGGTTCGTTCAAGGGCTTGACCAACCAAATGGGTTTTGGCTACAGAAAAAGGCTTGGTGGTTGAAACGAGCTCAAATTTCTTATGACTACATGAAATGCTGGCAGTGGCTAGGTGTTCTCTCTCTCCAACTCTCTCTCTCTCTCTCTCAAACCTCACTCATTTTTAAGGCCTTGCTCATGAAACATTGAACATACTTGAGCTAAGTAGCCAAACTCATCCAATTCTTTCAATTCCAAGCCACCACGGATCCAACGGTGCTCGGAACGGACCCGGACCCCTCCGGATTGGCTCGGACATCCCGTCCTGCTCCACATGGGGTGTCCAGGAGATAGAGATCTCGGAGGAACTGGAGCTGGTGACACTGAGCTCCTGCACGTGCTGTTGGCATCCATCTCTATGGTGAAACACCTGGTGAAATATCTGGCAGTGGGTCTAAGCAGCGAGACCACCCAGGCTGACCACTCTATTTTAAACAGAATAGACTACAACGGGAGGGAAAAACCACCAAGGATTGATCCCGAGGACCTATATATATAATTGAAAACACACCCAATTGAACAAACTCAAAGGCCCCTAAAATACAGTTGATATATATGTGTCTAAACTACGCCTTCTTGAACTGCTACTAAACCACAAACACAGGTAAGTTTGGAGTTGTATGTCTATACAAATCCACTAGAATCACCACCATCGTGCCCCCTTACCCAATGGCACAAAGACTCCATTAAAAAAGAGGGTTTTGCAAAGGGAAAAGGAACACCCTTCGATCTGGAGAGTGTATTCTTTTTCTCAATTTATGATTCATACGAGTTTAATAAAGGATTACATATACGTATATAACGTTCCTAGGTGACTTTTCGGTTTTGAAACTCCTTCGCACATGTTAATCTTTGCGGGTCCCCCAAATATTGAATGGGGGACCACCTATTAAGAAACATGACACAAGGGGGGACCTGTGTTTTTAACAGGTGGAAGGGATTATAGGGGTTCGGGTTTGACCCATCTGAGCGACGGTTCGTATCTGGTGAAACGCTATAGGTACTAATGATGACAAGATCACGTCATCCGGTGGTCTGTTTCCTGTCTTTTCCAGAAAGAAATGCCGAGTGGCACTGGGACACAATAAGTTATCTAGTATAGCTATAGATTGTATTGATTATATATGATTATATCATATCCTTGCATATTGGGACGATCGACTGTGTGAGGTACATGGCAAGCTAGATCTGTCTGAAGATTCCAACAAGGGCTGAGCTACCCAGCAGCAAGCGGTCGAGCTGTCCGAAAATATGTCTTACAAATTTCAACGATTTTTGTTTCCGTGTTTTGAACCACCGACAACCGAATCTTCTTCTCTCTAATTTCTGAATTATCCAATCATCAAAGGCATCATCTATCCACCTCGCCGCTGCTCCACCCCGCCGCCGCTCCACCCCGCTCCGGAGGCTCAGCGCGTTTCGGTGGGATGTGGATCACATCATGGAAGACCTCCCCCGCATGTGCGCATCGTGAAGAGTGGGGATGAATTTTTGGCGGAAAATCCAAATGGTTCTGCTACCCCTGCTACCCTACCGAGAATCATAGAAAGAGCATGAAATGGGACGAATGAATGGCTCCTTGGGAAGACGACTTTCTACAAACAAATTGCGCAGGGGACCAACTGCACCGGCTTCACCATGTGACTTTTGGAGAATGAGCACTCCTTCCTGCGCTCCTCACCAGGAGATGGAGTCCAAAGATGACGGGTGTCTGATCTCAACAACCGCCATCATAATCTGAGATGATTTGCCAGGCTTCGAGAAGTGATTAGGGGGATGAAGACCAAGTAGAACGGAAAACAAACAATATTGACCGAAGAAAACATGGTCTGTTCAATGTGTGAATGGCGTTCCACAGAGAAGAAGGACAAAAGGAAACTGCCCAATTCAGGAATCTTTGGATTTAGTGTATAACTATAATTGTAACTTGATATGCACTCTCCCTGAGGAAACCTATCAATGCCCATGAAATCCTCAGGCCTACAAGGCTCACTGCCTCAAAAACACCAATGGGGAAGATGATCATGAGTTCATACGATTTCACCAGGGCCACCAATTCAACCACCGTGGCTTCACGCAATTTGGATCCCCATAAAACCGACACCCACAAAACCAGGTACGAGTCAGGTTCGACCATTCTCAGACCAGACGAATGGGACTGGAATAGGTGCCATACATTTATACCCCATCCAAATGACCCATCCATGGTGGCGTAAACTATTCCATGCCCCATGGGGATGGGGTCCCATGGGTCTGCTCGAAATCTGCCTCCTGATGGACCGTGCCATAGCTAGGGCCCACTTTCCTCGATTGCAATTCAACGCCTGGGCCGAGAACGGCTGAACCCCCTGAAAGGGCGGGTCCATGACGGAGAGCGTTTTTTCAAAGCACCGCCACACAGGCATTAGCGCCACACAGGTGCATTCTTGGATTGTTTTTGACTGAATTGACACGTGAATTCATGTGAATTCTTGACACACCAAGGACTTTGTGGCCAGATGTTCACATCTATCCGGCATCACTTACCAAGGTACACTTACCAAGGATGTCCAGGATGGTAGAAGGGGATGGACAAATGTTGGCGATCTCAAACAATGGGCACCACCCAAGCCTGCAGAACCATGAAGAACCCGTAGTGGCCTGTGGTCCCCTGTCTGGATGTTGGACTTCAACCCTTCTGGCCTCCTCAAATCCCTCAAAGGATGACTCTGTGCACCTTCAAGACTCGTCAGAATACACTCCCAAGTCATCGGCCTTCAAGTTTGCCGAGACTCATCCAAAGCGATGAAATCCCTCAAAACCCTCAAATCATCTCAATCAATCCCCGCTCAGCTCCTCAACGATGCTGGCTGTCCCAGTCTGAGCACTTCCCATGACCGTTCAAGTTTGACTGGCTGTCTCTTCAACCCCGCCCGAAACAAGTGTCCTATATCATGTCCTATCCAATCCCAAGAAATATCCCCAAATTTAGACACTTTGTCCATCCCTGTTAGAACTTCAAGGTGAACCTGGATTAACCATTTCCTGGAGGAAATGGTTAAGGGTTTTCTTTTGCCCATCTTGTTTTCCCAACAAATAAGTGTCTAATGTCCTATCCCAATCTCCAAAAATTCCTTCAGACTGGGGAAAAGCAGACGTGTTTGCCTACTATCCTTTGTCCCCCCATATTTTTTTCCGCATGTCCTCCGCCTGTCCGACCCGTCTGTTCTCCCTTCATCCCAACTCGTTGCTTTCGACCCAAGTGTCGTAGATCATAGGAGCTTCCATCCTCCAAGCCTTGGCTTCGCCCCACGGCGACCCCATGGACGCCGAGGCACCGTCGCTGTCGGGTCGGAGGAGGTGAAGGGGCCCAGTCGATGTCTCCCTTGTTGGTTGCGGGAATTGATGGAAAACAAGAACTGTTGAGGGAGGAATCGAGAGGAATGAAAGCACAGTTAGTTGGATTCAGTTGGTTTGTTTCTTATGTTCAACTCCATGCAGCTGGTTCCTCGCGTCCCAACACCCAGCTGGTCGAAGCCATTGGGGCGAGGCGCTTTTGGGGGCTTAGGCGATCATGTCGAGCGGGATGTGTGGATTCAACACTTAGACTTGCTGAAGGAAACCTCGAAAAAGTAAAATATAATCCACAAAAGGGAATTTACCCGTAGGGAAACTGACAAATCACCTACTTGATCAAAACATAACAAGAACACTGAGACCTACACCTCCTGACTTGGGAAGTACCTGAACATTCAGAGGAAGTCTTTCATTTTGTCTTGCATCCACACTCGCATGATGCCGCATTTGCAGCCTATATAGGCGAAGACATTTCGCGCTTGGTTCATGCAAGAGTTTGTTTTTTTTGCAACATCCCTGCCCATGGAAGATGGTTCTCTTGGGGTCAAAACTTGGTCATTGACCATTTGAGATGAGGTGCAGATGTGGTGCAGAGGTGCAGAGGTGCAAATGCAAGGACCGGTCTCGGACCGGTCTCGTCACAAGTGTAGACTTCAAAAAAACAATATATATATAATATATATTATATATGTGTACAGTAGTTCAAACATAATGAACATATATACAGCAATATAATGCATAATGTAAAATGTTATAGTAATTCAAATAAAATCAATGCAGTCTGTGATTCTGAGAGGTTCTAGTGGAGAGCGGAGACGTCTTTAAATGGCGGAGTCGTCTCAACAGGCCTTTTCCAGCAAATGTCCTGTCCCACGTTGGAAGAGCACGTTTCGACGATGGCATGGTGCCCATATGTGCCCATGGTGCCCTGCTTGGTTTTTCTGGTGACCCATGAAACAGCTGCAAACAAACAAAGAGAACCTCTTAGTCTAGTCGGACTGCTTGTCCATCTTCACCGAGCTGCAATAGATTTGGCAGTTCGGCTGTGTCACCTCCCAGCAGTGCGGCACTAGGAGCCATTCGCTTCCTTTCTCCGCGCGAGCGAGCACGCGCAAGGCGCAAGGGGCTTGAGACACTGTGAAAGTGGATGCAAAAAGAAAGAAGCAAATCTGAAGTATCTGGAACACTTCTCTGACCTGTATTTCTCCAGAACTGGTACAAATTTGGCCTATTATACGACGTAGTTCAACTGCATGCTTGTTATGGGTGGTATCAAAGGATACAACGGTTGCAAAAACTGTGCCCACTCACTTGTTTCCACTTGCTTGAAGCCACAAATAGCTTGCCAAATGTATGTACATATCAGCAATCGATATAAGTGGTGTGCTGTTGTCAATAAAGCCACTGTTGTGCCCCTACTATCTTTTTGAAGACAAATGTGAGTGTGCGCGCGCATTGCATGTAATGTTCTTCCCAAACAAGTTCTTGTGCTATTCCTCAAACTAGCTTGCAAATTCATGCATTTAGTAAACTATAGGCAACGTATTGAGGACCCTACAAAAAGCACAGAACTCAGACCGGTCACCTGTCTCCACCGATCAACCCCGGTTCGACAGAACACCGGCCGTCCTGGGCTTTGCTGCTTGATGTAGACTCTCCAAATCCAATCCTCCGGATTGCTCACCGTGGTCACTCCTCCACCTTAGGGAACGGTCGCATACTCCGATGGAACCGATAGATGAGGCCGTTTGGACGACGGTCAGCGCGTCGTTATTGTTATCCGTCACCACAAGTGACGTTTTTGGAAGGATCTCGGCACCGATGGGAAGCAGTCAGTCAGTTTGGGGACAAATGTGTTTGAACCTCATGTTCAATGTTTGCACTTCTGCGCACCTGGTTGAAGTGGCCAGGGACAACTGCTTTACTTCAGTTAGAAGAAGCTTCATCTTGCGCCCGGAATCTCCTGCAGTTACAGCTTTATCCGAACCAGTAAAACATGTTCTTATTTTCGGAACTACTTGGTATCGATTTGCACTGACCCACAGGCATGCATATTGTTAGGTTTCAGACCAACAAACACATCAGTGAGCTTGAGTTTGAATAAAACAAGACAACATGTTGATGTGAACTGATTGAAATAGTCACACAATTGGCATACATCAGAAGACCCAGGTGCCTGGAGTTTTCAGGATGGACACCGGTGCCTGGAGTTGTCTTATTTGGGGAGATCGCCCCCGACTCCGCAGAGGAATTCACTGGTCATGATGACCGAGGGAGGTCTCGGTTCTTGTACCTTTTCAAGGGCGGTTTTTTGGACGAAGCGCCCCTTTGGCATTTGGTGAAGCCTACACTTGAAAATTGTCCCGCCTTGATTTGACCCACATCTGTTGGGCGGTTCACATGGGTTGATAAAAAAAGCTGCCGCGGTTTGAAGAGTTTTAATTCCCTCAGAAAAAATCAGAAACACCATGTTTCACCCCACCCCCCTAGTGACCTAGTGTCTCTCTCGAACAGCTAGTGTGTCTCTCCCAGGCGCCATCCCACGAGAAGTCTGTGTAGCCGCCCACAGGATTCGAGGGGCCACCTGGAAGCCCGTTGACCAACGGGTGGCATTTCGGTGCCGACATTCTATTCAATTCACTTTGGGTCCAACCTCAGTTGTAACCTCTTGTTCCTATCATAGGCCTCAGCCTTGAACTTGGGACTGCAGCGTTGTATGGGTGCACTCAGCACTCACTGCCAGCCCGGCTTAACCCTTGCCCTGATTTCGAGATTTCAACCATTTGTCGCAAGTTCTATCTGCAAATACCCCAGCTAGTGGATGCTAGTCGATCCGAGTCCATGTGTCTGGCGAGGAAATCCAGACACAAATCCCTATCCCTCCAAAAAGGAGGAATCCCTTTCGTTTCCAGTTTCCTTTCCTTTACCTGGTTGTGTTTCCATTTTCCTTTCGTTTCCTTTCGTTTCCAGAATCCTTTCGTTTACTTGGTTGGCTGTGGGTGTGAGAATTTTTCCAACGGCTAGCAAGTGCCCATGTAAATGCCCTATCCATATCCAAACGAATAGTTCCATATCCAAACACTAGGGTCATAAATGGGGTGAATGTATGTAACTATTCCATACATGAATGGTCTGGGACCTGGGATAGAGCGAAAGCCATGATGTCGTCGTAAACCTTTGACCTTGGTCGCGGCATCACCCAAACAGGTGACAATACCAGGTCAGGACGGTCAGGACCATCTTCTGAAATTGAGACCCTGTACCCTTCTGTACCCTTCTGTACCCTTCTGTACCCTTCTGTACC